AATTAGCCCAAACTTCGTTTTCATTTTTTTGAGGAGAGAATTGGTTTTTCTTCTTTGGTTTTCCCCCAAATTTTATGAAAAAAAACTTAAATATGGCAGTTGATGAAGGTGGTGATGGGTTTCCCTTAAGAATTTTCCAAAGCTTGTTCCGCTGTGTAGCTGCATATATTCCCAATACAGAAATTGCATTAAACATAAATAACCTAAATGGGGTAAAAAAGAGGCATTTACAGGCGAATCAAAAGAGGACAGGTGCTTTTTTTCCCAAAAAATTTTTTGTAAGAGAATTCAAAAAATAAAATTAAAGCCAAAAAAAATGAAATTAAGAATCGAAGATATCAAAACCATCCCAAATTATTTTTTTTTAGGTATTGTTTAAAACTCCCGAAAAGATGAGCCTTTTTAATCGGATCATTTCCCCGATTAAACATTCAATATTGGTAAAACCTCATCAGGTGTAACATTCACCGAAAAACTTTTAATATCCCCCGCGGCATAAGAACTTTTTTGCTCATGTACGTTGGTATAATTTTTATGCATTTTCCTCTGTCGAGACCATTAACAATAACCCCGTCAGTAAAAACCAAAAAATTTTGTACTGCTGGGCAGCCACTCGATCTCCCTTCTTCAGACCAACTGCTATAAAAATCATACCTATAAAGTTTAGTATTGAAAGTTTGCTTGAAGACTGAGCCTAAAATATGCAAAAAATGAAACCCCTAAATGCTGAAGCTTTTAAACACAACCCCTGTTGCGTGGAGTGTATAACAAAAATTTCGACAAACAGATTGGAAAACATTTGTTAATGGGTTTAATGCCCACACCCCCCTCCTCAGGGTCACGGAAGGATATAAATAGAATTGTTAAGGTTTGGTCAGATCGCGGGAATTACACAATTTCCAATAGACAAATAAAGGCCCAAAAAAAAATGTCGAGTGATTTGTTTTTTCCCCAGCACGGGGGGTTTCAGTTGAAAAACCCTTTATTAGCACACCCTCCCATCCCGTGGGGGGTAGTCAAAAGATTAGAGGGAAATACTGGGTCAGGGATGGACCTCAAAGTTTGTAGCTGAATAATTTCAAAAGGGAAGAATTCAGGGAGATTTGGGCACAAAAAACGGTAAGTTAAAAAGGTAATGAAACCCTCATCCATACATGGTTTCGTCAGAACAAATTCAAAGTAATGAGCCCTGACACGTCCACACCCCCACCCCCCGAGCGCGCGCGCACATAATACAGAGGGGACAAGACCCGGGGGCGCGCCCCGCCACCCTGGAGAGAAGAGTCGTCGTTCCCCCCTTTTTTTGTGAGCAATCTGAACACGTTTCTCGGAAATTTACTTGGGTTATCCCAGTTTCTTCACCAGAGCTGAGGGAGACTTGCTTGCGTCA